CCAGTTAGGAGGCTCTTGCAGTAACCCAGCAGGTGTGGTGATGGTGGTAATTCTAAAGATGCTAAGAAATAGTGATATTCTGGATATAGTTTGAAGGGAAAAACAATAGATTTACTGATGTGTAGGAAATGGAGCTTGCAAAAACAATATAATTAGTGGATGACTCCAAATAACCAAAAGTAAAAATCTGCTATTTACTGAGATGCACTGGACTGTGATAAGATCAGATTGTGGAGGATGGAGTGGTTCAATCTCACTTGGGAGTTCTCAAATATTCCAAATTTTCTGAGAAAATAATAATATTGCACTTCTCCACCCTTTTGGAATGTAGACATGTCCATGTGATTTGTTTTAGCTAATAAAATATGAGTGAAAATGATGCCATTTTCAAGTGGAAGCTTTTGAAGGCATGTGCGTGATTCCAGAAACATGGACAGCTCTTTCTAGACCTGATCATGAAGATGCAAGTTAAGATAAAGCCTCTGGGTATGTGAGTTGTAGAGCTTCATCTGTGTGTGTGAGTAAATATGATTATTGTAGCTCTCTGCAAATCCATGTTGGAGATATAGCAAAATCCAGTAACAACCCAGAAACAACCCTTTATTCTGCTAGATCACTCAAATTTGGGGGCTATTCACCAAAATTTTTGGTGCAGCATCACCTACCTTATCTTGATTGATACTGAGGGAGCATGGCAGAAGCTAGACTTGGCAATTGACATGTTTGCGATGCTATTAGATATATGAGTGCAGATGTTAAGATAGATATATCTGAATTTCAAGAGACAAGACTGGAGATACAGATTTGAAAGTTATCAGGAAATAAATCATTTTTATGATATTGTACTAGATGAGATCACTAAGGGAATAATGTAGAGAGAAGAAAACTGTCGAGAAACTGAGCTCTGCACATTGCTATGCTAAAAGACAAAAAGGAAAATAGGAACCAGCAGAGGAAATCAGAAGGAGTAAGCACTAAGACAGCAGATTTTGGTGTTACAGAAGCCAAGAGAAGAAAGTGTTACAAGGAGAAAAGAATAATAAACTGTGTCAAATGCTGCTGATGGGTCAGGTACAGTGAAGAATGAGAATT